AAAGTCCTAACTAATGACTAGGATACCAAGAGAAGGTAAATTGGAAGCATAAATCCACTGCCTACAGCCACAGGGGCCCAAGGGTCCACAATCCACAAGTCCACTGTTTTAACAGCAGTGCTAAGGCTGGGTGGGGAAAGTGTGAGAGCCATTTTCTAGAGGTAATTCAAGCTCAAAGACAACAGGAATTAAAGAGACAGAATGCACAATGAAAGCCAAGTAGGTACACAGTTGGTCTGAATGGATTCATTTAGATAAAACATGGGACTCTGGAGCAGCTCCAAGGTCATGATGCTTGGACATTGCTCTATAAATCTTAAAGAAGTAGCCTTCTAAGTTCAACATCTGATATCAACCAATAATATGTTCAAAAACCTTAAGTCCTACTCTTCTGGGGCCACCTTTAGCCTGGTGTTGAAATAGTGTTTTTCAATGAATTCTTTATTAAACTTGTTTCTTGACTTATGACCAGTCAACAAAGTGTTGCTCCTAAAATATGGATCCAGCTTTTCTAAGGCCCACACCTTGGCTGGGCACTCCTTTAGGAAAAGTTTTTCTTTTGATGGATATTTTTCTGCTGAAATAGATCTTCAGGTCTTTCAGTCTATGTTCTTGTCATGCCTGAAGCATTTATGCCTTACTTCGGCCTTTCATTATAATCAGCTGCCCTTAGTTTGCTATTCCCTGCAAGGGCTCTGCCTCAATCACATATGCATTAGAACAATTGCCTTTTTAGCTGTGAATTAAGTTATCTTTGGGGTGCCCTATGTAAATGAGAACACTTCAAAATGCTAATTTATAATGAACCAAAAGTTGACTGACAGAGTAATACTACTACTACGAGTGGACTGTTGAGAAGGCCAAATGGATGGACCAAGAAAGAACATGGCTGGGAAAAAGAAGTGAGCTGACCAGAAGCTTGGAGAGAAAAGAAAAGGAACAAAGAGAAACACAGGCAGGTAATGACTGCCAGTGGGGGCTGGAAGTGATATTAGGCTGGAAGTGAAGGGGAGAAAGGCTAATTTTTTTGTTACTGTCATGACAGCCGCCTAACAAAAAAAGAATATAAGACTTGGAAGTCTCTAGGAGAAAAAAAAGTGAATTGGATAGAGTAACTGACAGGATTAAGCACTTGAAAAAATGGTGTATATGAGAAAGGCAAGTAGTACAAATACAAAAGGAAAAAAGTGGGAGGCGCCTGGGTGGCTCAATCAGTTAAGCATCTGACTCTTGGTTTCGGCTCAGGTCATGACCTCACGGTTGTAAGACTGAGCTCCAGGTCAGGCTCCCTGCTAGGTGGGAGTCTGCTTTAGATTTTTTCCCTCCCCTTTGGCCCCTCCCCCTGCTTGCACTCACTCTCTCTCTAAAATAAACAAATCTTAAAAAAAAAAAAAAAAGCAATAAGAAAATTTAAAGAAATATAATCAGAGCATACCTTTTGGCTCTTTGGTGAACAATATTTGTTAGTGATAGAATTATAAACAGTGATATCGTTATACCAGAAGGATGAGAGATAGAGAGTACAAGAGAGCTAAATCCTCAACCATTATTTCAGGATGTCAATAGGTAATATCTAATGTTGATACATCAAGGAATAGGTAAAGGAGCTCATTACTTAGAAAATAGCTGAAAAATTTAAAAATGGTTGCCTCCAGAGAACAGGAAAGGAGGGTGAAGCTGGAGACTGTTGCTTCTCATTACAAGCCCTTCAGTGCTATTTAATTATTTTTAGTTAGCACGAGACTTAGTGTCAGAAGTTTTCCTGAGCATCTGCCCTGTGTTAAGTATTTTACACACATTCAAACCTCATGCAAACCTCACAAGAACAAATACTTCTCTGGTGCTTCTCTGTGCCAGGTATTAAGCACTTTACATTTATTAACAAATTCAGTCTTTGCAATAACTTTATGAAGTGGTTAATTTTATTTTCCTCCTTTAACATAGGAGGAAACTGATACACAGAGGGCAAGAAACTTGCCTGAGATCACCCAGCTGAGAGTGGCGGTGCTGGGATCTGAGCCCAGGGAACCTAGCCCCTAACCTCTGCATCCTGCGTGCCTTCTCACAAAGCCAAGGCACAGATATCTCAACTTTGGAGATGAGGGAATGTGGGGAAGACAAAGCCACTTTTCTAAGATCACAAAGACAGTGTGATGTGGGACCTGGTTTGACCATGAGTTAGATTAACCTTAACACCTATGCTTGGTCTCTCTGTGGCATCGTGCGAACCTGTGTTTAAACAAATGCTATTGTTCACCACTGCTATTCAACATGGTGCTGGAAGTTGTAGCCAGTATGAGAAGGTAAGAAAAGAAAATTAAAAATATACTAATCAAACAAGAAATAAAATGGTCTATATTTGCAGATGACATGATGCTCTACACAGAAAATCCCAAGGAGTCCACACACACACACACACACACACACACACACCCAACAAATAGAATTAATAAATAAGTTCAGTAAGGTCAGAGGATACAAGACAAACATACAAAAATCAATTGTATTTCTAGGTACTCACAATGAACACATGGAAACCAAAATTAAAAATATAGTATCATTTACAATTGCTCAAAAAATGAAATAGGTATAAATCTAAATCTAAAAATAGTATGTACAGAAATTATATGCTGAAAACCATGCAATCAAAGACCTAAGTAAACAGAGGGACACACCATGTACATGAATTAGAAGACTCAGTATAAAATACAGATGTCAGTTCTCCCCAAAGTAATACACAAGTTTGACATAATTCCTGTTTGGTCTTTTGTGCTGTCTGTTTTGCTAAATCTGGCAACACTACCATGGTGCCTGCCCTCAGGGAGTTTATAATCTAGTTGAAGGAGAAGACAAAAAGTCTTCAAGCAACAAAATAATAAATAAAGGAAAAACGGCTCTATGAGACAGAATATAGGAGACTGACCGTAGACAAGGATAGTCAGAGAATGCCTTTCTGCCACAGTGACATGCGGAGTCATGAAGTGTATGGAGTCTATAAAGTAAGGATGATCAAAGGAAAAGAACAGAGCAAGGGCTCTAATGTGGGGGATGAGTTTGGAGTGTTCCAAGAATTAGAAGAAGGGCAGTGCAGCTGGAAAAAGTGAGCAAGACAGAAGAATGACTGAAGGAAGAAGTCTGGAGGGAAAAGTAGGAGTCAAATCCCACAGGACCCTGAAGAGACACAATAAGGTACTTCACACTTGGAAAACAACTGAGGAGGAATAAAGTGATCTGATTCACATTTTTCAAAGATCACTCTGTGCAGAACGCTTTGGAGAGGAGCAAGGATGAAGGCAAACAAACAAACAACACAAAAAACTGGGTTGAAGACCACTGTAAGAAATAATACAGGGAAGAGAAAATGGTGGTGGCTTTGGTTAGGGTGGTGGCAATTAAAGAGAAAGGTATGGGTGGATTTTGGAAGTAGAGTCAGCAGGGCCTACTAATGGATTGGGGAAAAAAAGAGGACAAGGGAAAGTGGGGGAATCAATCAGTTGACCAGTTGAGAGAACAATGAGGCTGTTTGCTAAGATGGTAAGATCACAGGAGACATGGCTAAGCAGAGGAGAGGACGTGGGAAATCAAGCTTTCAGTGTTGGACATATTAAGACTGAAATTGCTGATGGACAACCAAGTAAAAATGCCAAGGAAGCTCTCTGCCCAAAGGAGAGGTGTGGGATAGAGGTTGAAAAAGGCATCTTTAGTATATACATCAGTGGCTCTTGACGCTGAGTATTCAATAATTTGCCCATAGAGCTTTTTAAATGTACTGCTGCCCACACCCTACCACCAAATATATATATATCACATTACACCCATCTGATTAGTTTTATACGTAAAAGTCAGAAAATTACAAGCACTGAAAAGACGTAGGGAACACAACCCTCAGCAATCACTGGTGGGAGGTGAAGTTTTACTCAATGAATCCAGAAAGCAAGGCAATGGCATCTAGAAATCTTTAAAAAATGTTCATGTCCAGGAATTTCACTGCTAGGTATAGTCCATAGAGGAACTTCTCTTGCTTGTGTACAAGGAGACATATACAAGGATATTTCCCTGTGGTAACAGGAAAAAAAAGGGGGGGACTACTTAAATGTCTATTATCAGGGAATGGATAAATAAAAAATGGTATAGTCATACTATAGAATACTATCCAGCAGTTAAAATCAATAAACTAGATCAATGTATACTATTGTAAATAGATCTCAAATATACAGAGTCAACCAAAAAAAGGCAAATTTGCACAATGATACATAAAGTATGATGTCACTGACTGAGAGACATGATTTTTAGAAGTATGGGTTCTGGAACTAGTGCAGAAAGGAGAGGGGATATATTTGGGGCCAGAGCAATCTTTGATCTTTTGTTCAAACTCAGCATTTGGTTTAAACTCTCCCCACTTCTTTCTGACACTATTCTTACCACTGCCTTCCTATTTTCTCTTCCAATGCCTTCTCTCTCTCTCCCTCCCTGTCTGTCTGTCCCTGCCCCCCATCTCCTAGAATCCTCTAATCTAGGGTCAATGAGTGGGTTTCAGAGAAACTATAAACCCCCTCACATTCTAAGTAAAATTTTGCATTTATGAGTATTTTTCCCGGGGAAAGGGTCCATAGCTTTCATCAGATTCTCAGAGAGGTCAGCATCCCATAAGAAGATGAAAATTCAAGAGTAAAAAATTTTCGTAGAATACATGTAGCTCCAATACAGTTTCCTTGGTCTATCTTGCTCTGGGAGTAAGAATTATTTCTCATCAGAAGAAAAAAAATAAAAGAGAGAAAATGTAAAGTGATTTGTTCTGACCCTGTTTCCACTAGCCCTGTGCCCTGGGAGAAAGTGCCCTGTCTTTGGAAACATAAACATCTCTATCCTTCCTGCGTGCAAGGCCTCCCATCCATCATTCCAGTCAGGCTCTGGGCAGCAGAGGCCAGCTTTCTTTGCTGCCATTCATGACCCTCTCCATCAGATGTCAGGGTCTGGCTCTGGCCAGCTTGTTGACAACTATGAAGATTTTTCTAACCCAGTCAAACAGCCACCGCACCATCGGAGCTTTCCAGAGCTGGAGAAACTACAAGAGACTAGGAAGGGACAACCAGTTTTGTAGAGGATGCTCCCACACAGTGCCCAAATCCACAGGTCCAGGTATAGCTACAGGGGCTCCGCAAGGCCTGGAGACCCTGGGATCTAAGTGGGCTCCTCTGTAACCCAGCATCATAGAGTCCCATAGTACTATGCTCTAAACTCATAAAGCAACAGGGAAAACCAGTGAGATGGGAACAATTAACACACACACCTGGGGTCAGCAGAGGGGCAGCCAGGCAGCTCTGTGGATCTTGGCTGGGCTTATTCACATGTCTGGGTGTCAGCTGGCTGTCAGCTAATCTGGACTGCCTCTGCTGGGTCCTTTCAGCAAGGTATAAGAGACAGCAAGTGCTGAGCCGATTTGAAGCCTTTGCTTTTTTTTTTTTTTTTTAAAGATTTTTTATTTATTTATTTATTTGAGACAGAGAGAGCACATGAGAGGGGGGAGGGTCAGAGGGAGAAGCAGGCTCCCCGCCGAGCAGGGAGCCCGATGCGGGA